GAAGTTTGAGGTTGCTGTGAGCTAGGCTGACGCCACGGCACTCTAGCCCAGGCAACACAGTGAGACTCTGTCTCAAAAAAAAACAAAAAAACAAAAAACAGTGTTGAAGGAAAGTGCTTTTCCAAATACCCACTTAGTTCAGCCTTCTCTCCTCCCTTCTACACATCCAGCCATCAACAGCCACCTCTTCTTGGAGGCCCCCAGGATCTCTCACCAGGACCTCACCCTCTAATCCTGCCCCCCACACCCCAGCCTCTTTGTGGCGGGGCTCTCCCGCACCCATGCAGTCACCTCTCCTCTTCTCTTGCCCCCAGGATCACTCATTTACTATTTTTTTTTGAGAGAGTCTCATTTTCTTGCCTAGGCTAGAGTGCTGTGGCGTTAGCCTAGCTCGCAGCAACCTCAAACTTCTGGGCTCAAGCCATCCTCCTGCCTCAGCCTCCCGGGTAGCTGGGACTACAGGCACACGCCATCGTGCCCGGCTATTTTTTCTATTTTTAGTTGTTTGGCTAATTTCTTTCTATTTATAGTAGAAACAGGGTCTCGCTCTTGCTCAGGCTGGTCTCGAACTCCTGAGCTCAAGCAATCCTCCCACCTCGGCCTCCCAGAGTGCTAGGATTACAGGCGTGAGCCACTGTGCCCGGCCCTCATTTACTTCTAACTTCTGACACTGCAGCTGGCATGTCATAATCTGTTTCTTGAACTGGGACAAGAGTTACATTTTTAAAATATTACAAAAGCCATTCTTAATCCAAACTAAGGATACCCATCTGCCAAGATCTTGATAGGTGTTTTAGTCCTATCTATGTATAACTATCACAAAACTGAGCTGGCTCAGTTAAATACCCTTTTTATCTATAGTTAAATATTCTTTTCAGATTTATCTTGACGACCTTCCCATGTCATTAGACAGTCTTTGAAAACATGATCTGTAATAAATGTATTCCTTAAGAGGTGAATGTAATTTTGTCACACCTCTGATGGACATTTGTGTTACTCCTAATTTCTCCATCGCAAATTATCAGTCATAAATAAATACTGTGTGGTGTTCAAATGGTCAAGAGACTGGAAGGACCTTACCAAGGGTAACAGAGATGGAAAGAAAGCAGGAAAAGGCAACTGTGCACCTTTATTTTATATGTTTAAATACAGCATAGGATCTTACATATTTTACAATACATGTTTACATATTCTATTTTTTAGCCTTTTTTTTTCACTTAATATGCTGGGTGCTTCTATATGCAAATATTACGGTGGTCTCCTTTATAAAAATAATAAAGGGATCATTTTGCTATAAATTGTGCACATTGCAAAAAGGTCTGGAAGAATGTGTACTCAATCATTACAGAATTAGAGACGAGGCAATTTTGTATACTGCTTTTCATCTTTGATGCTTTTCCCCATCAAAAACATGTAATTTAAAAAAATCAGTAAATGCCAGGAAAACTCCTAGGACAAAGCACTCCCTTATTTAATAACAATTAGCACATGATTCCTATGTTAGGAATTTACGAGCACAAACTGTATACAGCCTATAATTGAATGCTAGTGACAACACATATGTAGATGTTGGATTCAAAGGAAAAAGGCCTTTTACTTTCAAATGAAAATGGTGGATCTGATTAGCTGGACTGAACCAAAAACCTTAAATTAAGGTCACTACCTAAGAATTAAATCTTACAATCAAATCTGATACTTCAATAATGGGGAATATGGTAAGGAGTCCCTTCTTCATAAGCATCTGAATCAAACCTGTTTATAAAGTGACACATGTTATCAACAATTCACCTGAAACCCCCAAGCTGAAAGACCCATCCAAAGAAAGTACTTACAAAGTCATCTTGAGAGCTTGTCTGGGGCTCAGAGCCACTTTCTGTGGATTCGAGGTCTATAGGGTGTCTGTGAAACAAAATCCAACAGCATGTTAGCCACTGGCCTAACAAAGTCAGGAGACTCAGTGTATACCTAAGTTCTCCAAATCTGTTTACTGAAAACAAGCTCCACCTACATCATGCTGCCCTGACAGACACTAACAGTGTCCCTCCTGTTTGCCAGATCCAGCCCTGGCCCAGTCGATCCAGAGAGAAATTGGCAATTACAAGATGGCAATTATAAGAAGTGAAAAGACCTACCTGCCTCCCGGCACACCAAGACCAACCCAACTCTCTAGCCTGGGGATTACTCGCACCATGAGCAACCTCAGAAGCAGGAGCACTTGTAACAAGCCCAGTTATCAAGGGAGGGAATGAACACTATGACAAACCACACTCTACACTATCACTAATTTTCCCCATTTTCTATTCATAGAGAATTGTACAATGGTTCACTCTGGAAAGAAACCCATGTGCCATCTGTCAGGTCAAATTTGTGAGGCCACGTGAGAAAGCATTTCAAATATGCCAGTTTCTAATAAACTTCCCAGCACAAAGAAATTCAAATATTTGTTGAATGACTAAATGTGTCTGAGGAAGGGAGAGGCTCAGGACCAGAGGGAGCTGAGAAGAAACAGAAATGCCACCCAGGGGAGGCAAGCGCAGGATCTCTCCAATGCCCCAGGCAGTAGGTATTCCAATCATGCAGCAAAAGTTCAGGCCTGAGATGTTTTCAACTAGGCACGAGTTTAAAAACCACTAAGCAAAAGATAAAAGCCTTCCTCAACTAAAATAAGACCTTTCATTTTCATAGTTCAACATAAATGACTCAAATACTTTTTAGGATGTTTCCATCCTTTAAACAACAAAAATAATCACCATGTATTCCTAGATTTACTGAGTTCTATCTTTTCTAGCTACAGAAAGTAAATTCAATCAACAGAAGCAAACTCCTCCCTTCAACCCCCTCCCACCCAGCTCCACACACTGCAGAGAAACCCAGCACGGAGCTGCAGCAGCCTCTTCGCTCCCTTACCACTGCCAAGGGGACCTAGACCTATCACAACCTGCCCTGCAAGTGACACACAGAGAGCTGCTCAGTGACTGTACCAATCAGAGAAACAGAATAAGAATCCAAAAAAAACATACATTTCTTGCAAATCACATCCTTGTTCAGCTGGAGGATCCCAAAAATGCAAAGCCACCTTCCAGAGCTTGATTTGCTGGTCCCACGACCGTCGACTATACTTCTTAAATTTGTTGGGGGTCTTGGGATGGATGCCAGGTTGCCGAAGGTGTCTATAAGAGAGCAACAGCACCCCACAAATGGCACTCACACTTGCACATTAGCTTGAAGATTAATCTAACTTTGAAGTTAGTGTTATTTTAAAAATTATAGATCAACTGAGATTTTACAAAATGAGAAAGTAATTCATAAAAAAGCACTATCTCTTTGACTCTTACTACTCCTTTGCCATCTATGTCCCAGAAAGGTAAGTTTTAACACCAATCCCGCCAAAAAGTTTAGGAAAACTCTAAACGTTTTTTTGTATCCTTTTGTGTCTATGTGTTCAAGGGAATAGGACAGACAAGAACATGCTGTTTTAGAATATAGGGCAATGCCAACTTTTCCCAGTTAGATCTTGACAATCTTTAACTTCAACTTCATTTTTTTCTATCATGTATTTTAATAACTACATCTGTAAGTCCTGAAAAATAAAATGTTATCTAACATTCAAAATTATGAAAGTGATTTTATTTTTAATCTTCATGTCCTTGGTTTTTCAACTGCTAATCCATTCTTTACAACATAAGCTCCTGTTGAGTCCCTAATAAACAGTTTTTCTCCAGTGTAAACTATTCCCAGCATCAGATTTACTACCTAATCTAAGCAACACTGGAAGTGAAACATCCCATGACTTGTTCAGGACATGCCACTAAAGCAAGACTACCTTGGGACTTCTTTAATATAGCGATCATAGGCGATTGTGTTCTTCCCATAGTTGATCTGCTTCTGTCTCCTCATCAGGACACTTTCATCTGTCTCAAAGTCAGCCGGCACTGTAGACATGGACTCCTTTGAATCAGAACTGAAAAATGAAAGATTAACAGAACAAGCCTTGCAATTAAGACCACTACATAAGGTGAGCTGAGAAAATGTTGAAACACAATAATAAAGAGGACTCATTCTCCAGATTCCAAACCTTACTAATAACAGAACAGTTCAGAATCTTTGTACAGATGGGAATTTGGTACACAAAAGATACAATATTACAAATCAGTGAAGGTGGTACTCATCAATACATGCTATTAGGATGATTATTTCTCACAGGTACAGTTCTTTTCATTAACAATCTACAGTCTATCAAATTAGAAAAGAAATGTTTACACAGCCTTTACCTTCCCGATGATGATTTTCTCTCTCTTCCAAAATCATTTATGAGGAGTTTTCTTTTATATCTGAGTGCAAAATAAATATTGCTGTTTTTAAAAAGGTTTAAGAATACCCCATAATACTCTAAAATAAAATAAAATAAAGAAACAGTAGCACCAAACTGTTCCTAGAAAAAGCATAATTAACTTTTAAAAAATGCTCTGGGGAGGTGGCTGTGAGGGGGGATACAGATGAAACAGGACTGATTCTGTGGAAATGATGGTTGGAAACAGGCGGTGTGTTCACTGGGTGGTGGCGGTGGGTTGGGTTGTGATACTGTCCTCTATGGTTCTGTGTCCTTGAAACCGTCATCTATAGTTCTGTGCGTTTTATGTCCATTAAAATTTGCATTTATAGCATAATAACTATCAGTAGTAAATAAATCAGTAATACATAAATAATAAAATAAAAACAAAGCACCCAGTTCTGACAAAACTCTGCCCTGAACCCTCAGGTACACAATCCTATGTAATACAAGGGTTCCCTAGGCCAAAAGAAATCTTTGACAGGTTCAGTTTAAGTAGTGAGATCCGCACAACAAAAATTTACATCCCCCAAATTCAGTAGCCTTTAAAAAAAAAAAAAAAAAAAAAAAAACACACTTAAACCTAAGTCTAAAAAAGACTTAAACCTAAGGCATGAAACTGTAAGAATTCTAGAAGAAAATGTTGGAAAAACTCTTATAGACAATCGGCCTAGGCAAAGAATTTATGAAGAAGACCCCAAAGGCTATCATAGCAACAACAAAAATAAATAAATGGAACTTGATCAAATTAAAAAGCTTCTGCACAGCCAAAGAAACTATCGCAAGAGCAAACGGACAACCTATAGAATGGGAGAAAATATTTGCATGTTACACATCTGATAAAGGGCTGATAACTAGAATCTATATAGAACTCAGGAAAATCAGCAAGAAAAAAATCAAACAACTCTATCAAAAAGTGGGCAACAGACATGAACAGAAACTTTTCAAAAGAAGACAGACTAATGGCCAACATATGAAAAAATGCTCAACATCTCTAACCATCAGGCAAATGCAAATCAAAACCACAATGAGGTATCACTTACCTCCAGTGAGAATGGCCTTTATCAAAAAGTCCCAAAACAATAAATGTTGGCGTAGATGTGGAGAGATATGAACACTCATACACTACTGGTGGGACTGCAAACTAGCACAACCTCTGTGTAAAATAATATGGAGATACCTCAAAGAGCTACCAGCAGAACTACCATTTGATCCAGCAATCCCATTACTGGGCATCTACTCAAAGGAACAAAAGATATCCTATAAAAAAGACATCTGCACTCAAATGTTTATAGCAGCACAATTCACAATTGCAAAGAGATGGAAACAACCCAGGTGCTCATCAATATGAGTGGATTAATAAAATGTGGTATATGTATACCATGGAGTTCTACTCAGCCACAAAAACCAATGGTGATCTATCACCTCTTGTATTATCCTGGATAGAGCTGGAGCCCATTCTACCAAGTGAAGTATCCCAAGAATGGAAAAACAAGCACCACATGGACTCACCATCAAATTGGTGTTAACTGACCAACACTTAAGTGCACATATAGTGGTAACATTCATCAGGTGTCGGGCAGATGGGAGGGGGGGAGGAGGGCATGGATATATTCACACCTAATGGGTATGGTGTGCACCATCTGGGGGATGGACATGCTTGAAGCTCTGACTTGGGCAGGGCAAAGGCAATATATGTAACCTAAACATTTGTAGCCCTGTAATATGCTGAAATAAAAAAAAAATTAAAAATAAAAGGTTTTCATTCTTCACATATCACAATTACGAACAGGATGTGTGTGCCTGCTAGGCACTTTGTGCCTTTTCCAGTCTTGGTAACTGAACACCACCCCCACATGCCTCATTCCTCATGAATTTCATGAGGCATCAGCTTTCTGTGGCAGTAACTACCAAAACCCAGCTTTGCAAAAAAAAAGTATGATGTCACTCAAAGGAGCCTAATGAAATCTAACATTAAAACCACAACCCACCTCAAGCTAGAGGTTCATTCAGGTGTCTGAAAGATGGCACATATCACTGTGCCTCCCTCCAAAATCTAAATTCCGTCCCCCAGTGTGCTATGGTATCCAGTGCGGTTTGGACACCAGGAGGTAAGGAAATAATTTATATCCTGTGTATCCAGCACAGCACTGGTTATATTTAACAGATCATCATTGTAAGAACTGAGAAATTAGTCCCGCAAATCATTTTCTGTAGGGCTTCATTCTCTCCAGTACCCCAGATGAGAAAGACTGGCTTCAGGTATGATGACAACTCATTTTCAAATTCTCACATTGCCAGTTTGTACTCTGTCACTCTCCTTAAAGTATATAGTAAGCTGATTTCTCATACTCCCCTTGCTAGAGGGAAGCTGGCCTGCCTTGTAAAGGTTCACCATGGGGTCAGGAGGTCAAACCACCCAGGTTGTACTAAAAGCAGCAGCCTTCCCTCAGAAAGGGCATAATGAGGCCGGGCATGGTGGCTCACACCTGTAATCCTAGCACTCTGGGAGGCCAAGGCAGGAGGATCGCTTGAGGTCAGGAGTTCAAGACCAGCCTGAACAAGAGCGAGACCCCATCTCTACTAAAAATAGAAAGAAAATAAATAATTTGTTTAAAAGAAAAATTATATTTAAAAACTTTATAAAATACATTAAAATAAAAATAAATAAATATCTTGTCTCAATTATATTTAAAAACTTTATGAAATATAAAAATATATAGAAATATAAATAAATACCTTCTCTCTACCAAAAACAGAAAAAATTAGCCAGGTGCGGTGGTGTGTGCCTGCAGTCCCAGCTACTCAGGAGGCTGAGGCAGAAGGATCACTTGAGCCCAGGAGTTGGAGGTTGCAGTGAGCTACCATGATGCCACTGCACTCTATCCTAGGGTGAAGGAGCAAGATTCTGTCTCAAAAAAAAAAAAAAACAACCCCACACAAAAATAACCCAGCATAATCAATGGAGTGGTCCAAAACAACGCTCTGGACAAGAGTAGGCCTGTTTTCCAAAACAGGACAATTTTCAGATACAGGCCCACAAGATAACTGACGAACAAAGAGGGGTCTACCCACAGGAGGGTCCAGACAGGTGGGGTCTTCCTGCATAACGGCTGCAGATAGACCCTGGCTAGCTGTAACTTGGGGGAGCAACTAGGACCACAGGTTGGCAAGAACTATTCTAATACTCATGAACAGAACACAGAAACTATACGTATCCAGTCAAATGTTGTCATTTTATAGTTGAGAAAATCAAGACCTATGTGAATAAAATTCATTCAAAACACTGGTACCCACATCTGTCGACTCTCAGTTCATTCTTTGTATCCAAACATACTACCCAGCCACACATTTTGATACTTGAAAGAAATTAATAAGAATGACCCCTCAATGCTCAATAACCGATTGCCATGTGTTCCTGTGCCTTTTCAGAGGAGGCAGCTATAAATACCATCACCAACGGCTGAGATGAGGACAGGAAGGTTAGTCCTGCTCCCCTGGCTGACATTTTCTCGCCAGAATTAAAAACTAACGAAGATCCTGTTTGAGCTATCAGCCACTTGTCAGCTAGAAATCTCTTTGTAAAATACTTCAATTATGAACCATGGTTTAACTCAAAGTTTATTCAGCTAGTTTGGGTCAGATGGCCTATATCAAAGGAGAAAACAGACCAAAAATTTTGATAATGTAATCAAGGGAGATTAGACAATATTAAGGATGCATTATCCAAATGATAATGAGTCAAGGGAGAGGAAGAGGCTCAGTTTTGTGAGAACTTAGGAATATAAAACAATTTGTGTACAACTGCAGGCCGTGAGTCAGGGACCCCTCCCCTGGACACTGGCATTTCTGAGCTTTGTTACCTGAGCCAGGTGTCAGTCAAGAGTACATTCCCTCACCTAGAGAGCACACTCCGTCTACTGTGCTGGGCAGTATGAGCACAGCACGTGGCAGGTGGCAACCTAACTGTAACTGCAGTCCAGCAGCACCACAGTATACCTACTTCGACTCTCAGAAGGATCACCACCAAGAGAATGGTGGTGTAGGGCGGGAGTAGACTTTAGGCTTTAGGGAGTAGACTCACCTGGAGGGCTTTGTGCAGGGTGGCCAGGCCCCACCCCACCACCACGTTTCCATCAGCAGGGCCAGGGAGAGGCCTGAGAATGTGAATTTCTAACAAGTTCCCAGGAGATGCTGATGCTGTTGGTCTGGGATGGAGACTTTTGAGAAGCAATGCTCTAAGACATACCCCAAATTTAATGTACAATTGAAAACACTACAGATAACACCTTCAAAATGGTCCAAAATGTATACCTTGCCATTTCTTTGTTAACTCTGGTCCTCATTTCATCTTCCTCAACTGCACTTGCCCAGTCTGAACATCTAGAATGGGGCTTAGGGCCTTCAGGAGTGGTAAAGCTGTAATAAAATGAAAATGCACATTTGAACCATGACACGTACTTTCAGTTTCCTTTCCAATTGTATATCAGGAAATATTCATGAAAAAAATATTCAAAGGCTGTGTGGCAGAATGCCAAGGGAACAGGCTTCAGAGTTGAATCAGATTTTAAAGAGAACCTCTAGCTCCATAATTTACTAGGTCACCGAGTTTGAGCAATTCACTTAAAGCCTTTCTGGGCTTCATTCACTAAACTTCTGCCTACCTACCATGTGCCAGCATTGGCTAAATCATGGGGATAGTCCACTGAGAGTAAAGGCAGACAAAGTCAACAAAGCACTGTTAGCGCTGAGAAGAGGACCTAAGAAGACAATTTATTTTATTTGCAAAATGAGGAGGTATTTTTTTTCAGGAGTTTTTAAACAATTTCAGATAATACACAATAAGTGCTAAGCATAGTGACCAGCACACAGTAGGAACCTAATATATATAATATATAGTGGCTAATATATATTTACCTTTTGGATGCACATAATTAATGATTCAGAATATATTACCCCAAAATTAAAATGTGTATGGGAGGGTAATAAGTATATATGTCAGAGTCTGAATACATTAGGACTTAGTCTACTGGTAAAACCTAATCCAGGAGCTCAGTCCTATCTCAAGCTTAAGGAAATCTTTAATCAAGATCAGGAAATTTGGGAGGAAAAAAAAAGTGACAATTTGAAAGCTTAAGGCTCAATGCCGGGCCAGGTGCAGTGGCTCACGCCTGTAATCCTAGCTCTCTGGGAGGCCGAGGTGGGCAGATTGTTTGAGCTCAGGAGTTGGAGACCAGCCTGAGCAAGAGCGAGATCCCGTCTCTACTAAAAATAGAAAGAAATTAATTGGACAACTAAAAATATACAGAAAAAATTAGCCAGGCATGGTGGCGCATGCCTGTAGTCCCAGCTACTCGGGAGGCTGAGGCAGGAGGATCGCTTGAGCCCAGGAGTCTGAGGTTGCTGTGAGCTAGGATGATGCCACGGCACTCTAGCCCGGGCAACACAGTGAGACTCTGTATCAAAAAAAAAAAAAAAAAAAGGCTCAATGCCAAAAATTCTGGCAGTTGGAATTGCTGATGTGCCTGTTATTTATATATTAGATGTGAACTTACATTTTAATTTTTCCACCCTGTTCCTCTATTGGCCATCGCTGATATATCAAAACAAGGCACTAAATTCAACCACACCAAATAAGCAACCTCATATATTTTAGTAGTGAACGAAATGGTGTGCTTTGAAAATGCAACTGCAGTAACAAATGAATAATCCCTTTACGTAATTATCATTTCTTCCCATCACCCAAGGAAACTTAAATTGGATTTCTAAAGTAAATTTCCAGGTTCTAAAATTGGCTGGAAAGGTCTGATATCCAATTAAGCAACTAACTGAAAGTTCAATGGACTCAGTAATCGTGTTGCAGATAAAAAACCAAATGGAGGCTTGTCCAGGATTGAACACCAACATCCTCACTAGTGTATGCTCCAGCAGGAATCTGAACTACAGGAATAATTTTTTTTTTTTTTTTGGAGACAAGGTCTCACTCTGCTGCCTAGGCTGGAGTGCAGTGGTATCATCATAGCTCACTGCAGCCTCAAACTCCTGGGCTCAGCCATCCTCCTGCCTCAGTCTCCCAAGTACTTGCTGAGACTACAGGCCCAAGCCACCACATCCAGCTAATTTTTGTAATTTTTTTAGAGACAGGATCTCACTACGCTGCCCAGGCTGATTTCAAACTCCTGACCTCAAGCAATCCTCCCACCTTGGCCTTCCAAAGCGCTGGGATTACTGGCATGAGCCACCACACCTGACCAGGAATAATTTAAAGGGTACGTACAAATAACCTTACCCTACATCTCATGTTTTGGTACCTTCCATGGAACTAAAGTCCACTTGTTAGATTAGGCAGGTTATACTCACAATCTACCCTATCTTGGGACAACAAAGCCCATTCTATACACTGAGCTAACCTACTTTCAAAGGGACCATTTCTTGCCCTACTCCATCAATGACCAGCACCCCCCCAACAGAGATGCAGCTGGCTCTATTTGTCAGGTACCGCCAATGCACACTGCACACAGAGCGAATAGCGAGTGCCAAGGCCCCAGAACAGAAGTATTCCTGCCATGCTGGAGGAATGAGGAAGCTAGAGGAGTACTGGTCCAGACACCAAGGACTTCTAGAGTATTATAAGGATTTCACATCTTATCTTCAGCTAAATAAGGCCACTGGAGGGTTCAGAGCTTGATCTTGATGTGGTTTGATTATCCTTCCTATCTAGCCCTGGGGCTGTGCTAGGACCTCTCCCATACCTGCCCCTAGTCCTAACTCTTTAAGTATCATCTGGGGCCAGGCGCTGTGGCTCACGCCTGTAATCCTAGCACTCTGGGAGGCCGAGGCGGGAGGATTGCTTGAGCTCAGGAGTTTGAGATCAGCCTGAGCAAGAGCGAGACCCCATCTCTACTAAAAATAGAAAGAAATTGGCCTAACAACTAAAAATAGAAAAAATCAGCCAGGCATGGTGGCACGTGCCTGTAGTCCCAGCTACCCAGGAGGCTGAGGCAGGAGGATCGCTTGAGCCCAGGGGTTTGAGGTTGCTGTGAGCTAGGCTGACGCCACGGCACTCTAGCCCGGGTAACAGAGTAAGACTCTGTCTCAAAAAATAAAATAAAGAGGAAAAAAAAAAAAAGTATCATCTGTATGTGCTGACAACTCAGAGTGCTTGGGGTGGCCTCCCCATCCAGACTCCTAGATGCATTACCTTCTTGACATCTTCCCTTGCTGTCTAAGAAGTTTCCCTCTCCATGCAGGTCTGCTCTACTCCCACCTCTTTATCCTGGAAATGGCCCCACAATCAACATAGGTGTTCCGGCCTGAAGTCTTGAGTCATCTTTGACTCCTCTTTCCTCCTGTCCCCAACCCCTCAGCAAGTCCTACCGGTCCTACCTTCAGAAGTCTATCCTGAACCACGCACTTCCTACCACTTTCACTGCTCCATCTTGGCCAAGTCACCATACCCTTTCATTTGAGCTCAACAGCAGCCCCTGCCCTTAGCCTGTGGTCAGTTCACAAACATATCCACCTAAGAGCCTTGGCACAAAGCTCCTCACAGGGACCCACACAAAGATCACTTCCCATTTCATCCCAGTTGTGACCCAAAGGTCCTCCAAGAGAGGCCTTCCCTGACCATGGCCCTGAACAGCCCCCTCACCACTATCACAGGCACCCCTTACTTTCTTCGGACACCCCTCCCTCTGAATTGCCTGTTTGACGTGCTGTCCCACCTACTTCAGGCTATAACCACAAAAACAGAGACCTTGCTCAGCTCACATCTTGACCTTCCAGCACACTGCCTAACCTACAAAATGCTCAAGCAAGTGCTCAAGCAAAACCCTCAGGAAAAGCCTCAGGTAGAGCCTCGGTAGCATCAGAACGGAAAAAGGGATCTGAAACTTAAATCTTGGATTGCTTCCTGGCTTTCACTTAACATCCTTTTTCACCCTGTATCTTCTCCAAATTAACCCTTAAGAGTAAAATAAAAACGCCTCGCTATCTCACAACGTTTTAAAAGTTGGTGATGGTCCCTATCACTCTCCCTGGAGCACAGCAAGGGCTCAAACTGGTTGAAGTCCGCTTTGCTGGCACCTATCAATGGGAAGATGCTTCCCGGGCGTCCAGCACCTCACAGTCTAGGCGTGGTGGCTCAGCCGGAAGGCACCGGAAGGCTATGCCCGCCTCTTAATCGTCATTTCACTCAGGACAGTTAAAGCAGGGGACTAGAGGCTCGAGCAGAGACAAAAATTAAGGGGACCTGGACCGCACCTATCTGATCTGTCCCAGCATCTTTTTAAAACAGGAGCAGAGAGGACCTCAAAGCAGCCTTTGCAAGGGCCCCACCGCGCCCTCCAGACCCCCAAGCACCAGCGGCCTGGGGCCCACCTCTCGGGTCTGTGGTCGGCGCCCCGGCGCTCGCCATGCTCTGCATCCTCTGGCTTCCTGCGCCTCCAGTCGGCTCTGCGCTTCCGTCCGAGGCTCCATCTCGCGGGGGACCGCGGGCTGGGGGCAGAGACGCGGTCGGCGGGTCTCGCATGGACAAGGACCGTCCCCGCGGCCCGGCCCGGCCCAAGGCCGAGGACTCCCGCCCCACACGCGGCCCTGCCCCGGCCCGAAGACCCCCCCCCCGCCCCACACGCGGCCCTGCTCGGCCCCAGCCCCGCCTGACGCGCGCGCCCGGGGCCAGGCCGGGGACGCCCACGGCCGCGCGGCCCGGCCTTACCTGGCGTCATTGTCGCAGCGGCTCCCGCACCTGGGGGGGCTTCGCGGCCGGCAGGCCATGGCGGCGGCGGGAGCGCAGAGAGGACGCGAAGAACTGCAGCTACTGTAGCAACCCGATAGACCACGTCCTAGCGCGGGCGCCGAAAAGCTCTGTGCGCCCCGCCCCCAACCGCTTTTATAGGCCGCTGGCCCCGCCCGTCGGCGCTCCCGCGCGCGCCCGGACGGGCAAGACCATCCGACCCCTGCGCGCGGGGGAGGCCCGTCGGCTGCGCGCCTTGCGGGCCGACTAGAGCGGGCCTGAGGCCTGAGGACCCCGGCGGGTAGCGCGGCCTCACTGCCAGACGCTCCGTCTGGCTGACTGAGGAGAGACCCGAGAGAAAGGTTGGCCCCCCGCACTGAGGTGACCAGTGGGCCCCTAGTGCGCTGATAGGTCGTGCCTTCGCGGGCCGGGGAGGGGTCTCGGCGGGAGATAGGGACGCGCGCGACTCGGGCACGGGGGGAGGGGGAAAGCGGCGCGTTTCCGATTGGTCCCAGTCTGGGTTGGGGCGCGTCTCCTGTTTGTCCCGGCCCAGGTGAGGACGTGTCTCCGCGCTGGTGGGTACCGGAATCCGGAAGGTGCGGTCTTCAGAGCCGCAGTTGGCCCCACCCGAACTGCCTGACTGCGGCAGGCCCCGGGGCTGCGTGGTGTAAAAAGGCAATCAAAGTCTCAGGGCCACCCCCCAGCTCCTGTGCAAAAGGGAAGGTAAAGGCCTCGGGCACCTATAAAGAGCTGGCCTCACAGAGCGATTAATAAGGAAATTCCTTGCTGGCCTCCCATAAGCACCTAAAACTAAAGCCTGTTGAGTCCACACGAATAACGAATTACAAGTTTATCTCACAGGTAACAGAACTGGAGAACAAGATGGAATCAGACATTCTTCCACCTACCCAAGGACATCTACATAATTAATGCTTCCTTTACTCCTTTATTCTTTCCTAACATTCTCCTTATTTTATATATAATGCAGATTTCCTGGGCCTCACTAGAATGTAACCACTTTGCCACAGCAGAGCCCCCACCCCCACCTTTTCCTCCTCTCTGTATGCCTTCAAAATGCTGAAGGTTCCAACTTCCCCTTCAGAAAAAACAGCCATAGCTTGTCTGTGGTTCGTGTTTTTCCTGGGCACATCTTCAACTTTGGCTTAATAAACCTCCATTGACTGAGATTTTTGCCCCAGTCACTCATTTGCATTGGCAGTGGTCTATTGTTTTAGACCATTAAAAGTCTCGGAGTAATCTTTTAGACTTCGATAATTGACTGCATCTTCTTGGTTGCACTGTCCTGGCCGTTGGCCGCACACCTGCCACTGCCTGAACTGCTTCTCTCCACCCTTGTTGCTGCCTGTCTCCCTGCCTGGTCTATGACATCCTCCTGAGTCCCCAACATCCTCGTATGTCCTGGTGCCTGGCATTCACAGGCTCTCAATGTACTTGTGGATTTAAGGAGTCAGTCCTGCCCTCTGCCCGGGGCCAGTTTGTCCTGCCTGGGTACAAGGTGCAGACTGCCCCACCCTGTCCAATCCTGCTTCCCTGCAGCTCCGAGGTTCCAGGTTAGAGTGGGCAGTGGAGACACAGGACAAGGAGGCTGAGCCCCAAGGGAAAGCTTGGAATCCCCCTTACCCCCCACACCCCTGGGAAAGCTGAGCTTTTGCACGTCCTGCCCTCAGGACAGTGCCTTGGTGTGCCCCCTGCCCCCTCCCTTTTGAACTCAGGAAGGTCATCCCCAAACTGGGACAGCCACATCCTGTCCCCTGTCCCCACAGACCCCAGGCATCTCCATCATAGCCCTCAGCACAGAACTAAAGGGTCCTCAAGTGCCTGTGAGCCTAGGGTCTGATACACAGCCTTTCAGTCAATGTTTACCAGTCTACATTGTTTATAGTTGAAGCACTGCTGGCCTGTGTATGCAAAAGAAAAAAGACGAAGACAAAGCCCCACATTGGAAAGAATCAGAAGACATTTTTCTTGAAAGGGGATTTTAAAAAATAATCAGAAGACCCTCAAAGCATAGAAAACACGAGTCCATTTGTCCTATTTTTTTCAAAGAGGTTACACGAATTGCTTCCCCAAGAAATCTTCTGTGGGTCAAATGAAAGGACGGCCTTGCTAGCGAAATAACAAAAAATTATTGGCTGGGCATGGTGACCCACGCCTGTAATCCTAAAACTCTGGGAGGCTGAGG